GGCTATTAGCTTCTCCTCTGCGGCTATTAGCTTCTCCTCTGCGGCTATTAGCTTCTCCTCTGCAGCTATTAGCTTATCCTCTGCGGCTATTAGCGTCTCCTCTGCGGCTATCAGCTTCTCCTCTGCGGCTATCAGCTTCTCCTCTGCGGCTATCAGCTTCTGCTCTGCGGCTATCAGCTTCTGCTCTGCGGCTATTAGCTTCTGCTCTGCGGCTATTAGCTTCTGCTCTGCGGCTATTAGCTTCTGCTCTGCAGCTATTAGCTTCTGCTCTGCAGCTATTAGCTTCTGCTCTGCAGCTATTAGCTTCTGCTCTGCAGCTATTAGCTCTTTCAACAGCTCAGTTAACAAATCATCCTTCAACAGATTTCTCATTCTACAGTATTTTTGCAGAACAAACAATGACCTGGTTGCTTTAACCTCATAAATAAATTTTGGCTGTGGCCGGTGAAAGATCGTGACGATGATTAGAAACAGTGACCGACGGGACGACCTTTGACCTGGGTCGGCGCTCACCGTTCTCAGCCATGGCTCCCTTGTTGAGGATCTGGATGGCCCGGCGGATGTCCAGGTTGAAGAGAGCGATGGCGGCCGCCCGCTCCCACTCGCGCTCGTGCTCCAGGGAACGCAGGAAGGTCTCCACGTTGATGTCGGGACCGCGGCTGATCCAGCCGCAGAGCCGCAGGGCGAGGCAGCGCTCCTCGCTGTAGAAGCGCGGCACGTCCGCCTGGCGGTCCGAACCGCTCCAGCACCTGCGGCTCTCAGTCGTGCCTTCATGTAAACAGAAACTCAGTAAACGTTTCTTTGAGCTGAACCACGCCCGTGTGAAATGAAATGTTTTTACCTGAGCTGGTCTTGATGATGTTCTTGATGCCAGAATAAACCACAGACTGTTTGTTGCCCTGCAGCTTCAGCTCCTGGTCCTCTGCACACTGCTTCATATGTGAGACTCACATCGGAATTAAAACTGTTTTTACAAACCAAACCATAAACATCTAAAAAACATTTAGAGCTGAATGAGTTTTTATTAAACCAGTCTAATTATTTTACTCTCTCAAAGGATATAAAAGAGGTCGAACCATAACGACTTGAGCTGAGGGTCGGTCCCCCCCGCCAGCAGGTGGTTCCTCCACACCTGGACCGTATCGTGTCCGTACCTGGACTGAGCCCGCTCCCTCATCTTGGTGGCGATGTCYGTCTCGGCGGCGCCCTCGGTTCCCCCGGTCGAATCCTCGACGCAGTCGTACAAGTGCCGGCCGCACGCCCACGTGAGCGACGTGGTGGAGCTCCAGGCCAGAGAGACGCGCTCGAACACGGTGAAGTCGGTCATGACCCGGTTGGAGGCCGACACCACCACCATGCGGTTCTGGGAGGACGGGTGCCAGGCGAAGCTGCCGATCTGGCTCTCGCAGGGCTGCACGCTTCGCTCGATGATGGTGGGCTCCGTCTCGTCGCCGATGGGCGTGGGCGTGTGCTGCATGTCGTACAGACGGATGATGTTGCTGTCTCGGGTCAGGGTGGCCAGAAGTCCGGTACGAGTTGGACACCACGCCACCTGAGGCGAAGGAGGAAGGAGAATCAAAAAAAAAACTAAAATACAAAGAAAGCAACGAGCTTAAACTACAAAAAAATATGTGAATGATGACAGCTGAAGAATCTAAAACTGAGTAAAGAAGAGAAACACTAGCTAAAAGTAGCAAAAGACAAGGTAAAGGCTAAAAGTAGCAAGATGGTAGCTAGATGTTAAAAGTAGCAAATGGCTGGGTACAAGCTAAAAGTAACATAAAACGTGCTACTATCAGAAAAAGGTCAGCTAAAAGCTAAAAAGTAACAAACCTCTAGCTAAAGTAGTTAAACATTAGCTAAAAGCTAATATAAGCTGGGAGCTAGAAAATAAATGCAGAAAATAGCTTGCCAAAAGTAGCATAACACTAGCTAAAAGCAGAAAAACTTAAGCTAAAGGCTACAAATAGCATTAACGCTAGCTAAAATCTAAAAGCAACAAATGGTAACTGGAAGCCAAAAGCAGGAAACAGCAAGGTAAAACCTAAAAGTAGCAAATGGTTAGCAAGAAGCTCACTCAAAACTAATTAAAACAAACGGGTAGCTAGAAAATAAAGGATCACACTAGCTAAAAGCTAAAAGCAACCCAACACTAGCTAAAAAGGTAAAAGTAACAAATGGTTTGCTATTAGCTTAATGGAGCAAAAGGTTAGCTAAAAGCTAAAAAAGTAACAAACCCTGAGCTAAATTTAGTTAAACTTTAGCTAAAAGCTAATATAAGCTGGGTGTTAGAAAAAAACAGTACAAAATAGCTTGCTAAAAATAGCATAAAACTAGCTAAAAGCAGAAAAACTTAAGCTAAAAGTTAAGCTAAAAGCTACAAATAGCATTAACACTAGCTAAAATCTAAAAGTAGCAAATGGTTAGCAAGAAGCTCACTCAAAGCTAATTAAAACAAACAGGTAGCTATTACGCTAGCTAAAAGAAGCTAAAGTTATGCTAACAGCCAAAAGTAACACAACACTAGCTAAAAAGGTAAAAGTAAGGAATGGTTGCTAAAAGCTAAATGCAGCAAAAAGGTTGCTAACAGCTAAAATTAGCATAATACTAGCTGAAAGCTATAAAGAGTTGAAAGAAATCTAAATGTATTTTTATGGGGGAAATATTTGTG